GACGGGTGCTCGGGCGTAATCGAGTGATCACGGGACCATATGCAAAGATATCGCTCCATAGCAGTCGCCAAAAATTTGTGTTGTGACACCTGTGCAGTGAATTCCCGTATTTTTGGGGCCAAAGGCTGAGGCTTATTTGTTCTAGTGCCATCTGCCTTTGATACAGCCGTCAACCTTTCTCCCTCCAAATCACGAGTCATACTACATACTAAGTATGCCTTCATAGTGTCCTCTTCGTGTTTTAAGCTTTCGTCCTTTACGAACGATCACCTGATTTCCAGATTTAGGTTCTTTTTGCTGGCAGACAAGCTCTGTTTGGTTCACGATTGCAAGAACGTCCTTCCTGCGGAGGAATACCAGCTCTGTGTCACACCGCCTTGGCAGCTGATCGACTTTGACAAATTGACAATCACTCACTCTTGACGTTGGACAAAAACGGGTTTTGCACACCTGTCATAGGGAGGCAGTCTGGTCGGGCCTTGGTCACCCGCGAGCGCCCACTCGGTGTACCCGTTTCAGTGAGTTGAATGCTAATCCCCACATTTCTGGACCAAGAGCGGGCGAGAGACTGCCTCAATAAATCACATATCATGCCAAGGGAAACGCGACTATAGTCCACCCGAAAATAACTAGAGAGACGCAGTGGTCCAGTCAACGGTAATGGTTTTGCAATGGGTGTAGGCCGTCTGGTCCGATCATGGTAGTCTTACGCGGCTATTTTGAAGGGTTGATGGGAAACACACGAGTTTTGGCTGATGCCCTGAGTTCACAGCTGACCTTGTGGTGTGGGATATCGAACGTTTCATCGTAGCGACTTTTGAAAAAGACTTGAATGCGTAGACCGAGGGTCTACATAGCACAAGGTAACTGGGGACAGAGTTGACTAGGAGTGCACGAAGAGCTTATCGAACCAGTAGTGATTTGTCTCACCTGCCGACAAAGCGTGAAAGGCGAGCAGACTCGTCGCACGTGATTCGTCTATCAACCTGCCTGTCAGCTAGCTGTTTTAACAAACTAAGACAAATTCTGATCTGCTCACCCTAATATGCACCCGTTCACACGCACACGCTAGTGACAGTTCAAACCCGTAGACAGTTCGCTTGCATGGCAATTCAATCTGATCATTATGCACAATGCACTTGTTTTGGAGGAAAACGAGCACCTCAGGTCTGAGAAAGTATGCATCAATATGTGACAATAACGATGTGTGAACAGTGTGTGTGTGCGTGTGTGTGTGTGTGTGTGTGAAAACACACTAAACAGTGGGAGTAGAATCTCAGCACAAGAGTCACGTTGCTTCCAACTACGAGCGAACAAGTTACACGAGACTTCCAAGGTTTCGCGATGACAACGTGCCGGAAGTGAGACACGCTCCGTACTGACCACCATAGCGCGCGTGTTGTAGGAACTTTTGGGAAACCAACTAATTTCCCTCTCCACTTTCGATACCTGCTCATAAAACAACACTGCCGCTGGAGGTCTCCAGTGTCTTACTAACAAAACAACTGTTGAAAAACTACCTGAATCTCTAATCCGATCGAGAAGTTAAGGGTTAAGTCTGTTTTTGGCCGAAATACAACAAAAGTAGTTCGGAAAAGCTCAAATAAGACTTGTTGAATAGTTGATCCACAGTATGTCTGTGAATGCGACAAAAACATTTGGGCCACCGTGTTCTTCCACAGATGCTGCATCCAGGCCAATCACTGAATTCAATTTCGGCGCTGAATCTGGACGAACTTTCCAAAGTTGATTCAAGAAATATGAGGACGTATTTCAAACCAACTGTGCTCTGTTTGATGATGCATGGAAAGTTTCAATGTTGTTGCGGGAATTGGATCGGTTCACAAATTTCATACTCGCCAAATTCCCTCGTGACCTTGACCTCACAGATACTGTCAAGATCCCGGCTCAAATATCCGGCGAGCAAACTTCCTTGTTCAATATTCATTATCAGGGTCTCAAGATTACAAAAGGAGTACTGAAGATTTCATCACTTATACCAGCGTGGTCAACAGAGAATGCGAACACCTTCAGCTCAGCACCATGACCGAGGACCAATTCAAGTAGCTCATCTTCGTGGCTGGTCTTCAATCGCCATGATACAGATATTCGGACCCGTCTACTGATTCAAGTTAACAGGATCCAGAGTTGACGCTTACCACCAAATGTCAGCATCTTATCAATCTCAAAGCTCATGCTCCGATGACTGGGCATTCCAAATTCTCTCAGCCTGACATGGCATGCCAAAGGCAATCAAATTCTATACGAACCCTAAGAAAACCACCCATGCCCTGTTGGTTTTGTGGAGAATGGCACTATTCACGCCACTAACTCTATCGGAACCACAGGTGCAGAAAGTGCAGTCGAACGGCCCGATGGAACGCCTGGTTGGCACTCTGAAGCATGCAGTTCAAAAGTCCAGAGGGGAGGGACCGGTGAAAGAAATTTTGCAAAGGTTCCTGTTGGTATTTCGAACGACGCCAAATCCCAACTCGCCCGACAATGTCACCAGCAGAGGTACTGCTCCGAAGGAAGCTCCGAACACCGCATGACACTATCCGGCCACAGAAAAGGCAATCGAGTCACCGAAACATGAGATATGATAACCAGTTCCATGGCTGCGCCATGGAAGACAGGGCACACAAACCAAATCCGACCGACAGATGCGCAGAACATGTCCAACCGACCGAGTGAGTTGAGTCTAGAGATGGTTCTGGACACTTTTGATCTCGGCATCATTGGGAAAAACGAATTAGCTGCTCCGTCGGAGGCCTAGCCCAAGTACGCATTACGACCGCGACGCTGGACAGACAGGATCCGCAAACCAGCGAGATCACTGCTAGTAAACCCCGGAATTCAATGTTACATCAATAAAGTTGAACGAGGAGGTGATAGGCGGGATTCGGCACCGATGTCACGTTACCGCTAATAGTCAAGCGCTGCTACGACCAAAAGGCCTATTCCGTACGCGATTGGTCGAAAGTCAGGGCCGCTTGTCGGTCCAGCATCAAGACGAGTTCAGATTGGCCGAAAGTCTGGATCCAACAGCCAATCATGATCTAGTATCTGGTCAGTTGCCAGTGCCGCGTCCAGGTGTCAGAATTTCCAGAATTTTGTCACCCTTTATAAAGGGCGTGTTGTTGTACATGTGTTCTTGACCTAGTTTTGGGCATCACTGCATGGTGTGCACCTTTGGTGGTTGTTTTCAACGGGAACGCCAGTTTGGAAGGTTCAGACCGAGAACTAAGCTGCGAAAATGCCGTTCTTGCAAATACAGACGGCTCGGTCGCCCGTACAAGTTGACGACAACTGTCATGAAATCGCTTTCTCATCCAATCACGGGATATTAGGGGTGCACTGGCGCTCTTAAAGCGTATCTAATATCTCCAAAACAATTGACCAATCAGTGAACATGTTTATGGTAACCTCTGACTGGTTCATTTGTGATTATTATGCTTTCGTTGTTTGGGAAACAAAAAGGTTAACGAACGTTCACAGCTCAGCTTGGGAAGTGCATCTGACCAAGGACACGGTGGTCCGCCCCTCCCCCGGGAAAGTTCATGAGTACGTTGTTTCGGGCAGATTGTTCCCATCGGCGTAATGAGTCCACGTATCAGTTAGAGAGTCGGCATAACAGTTTAACTGCTCCGGTCAAACGACAGGGTTGTTGGATTGATGCTATCTAGGCACCAATGAATAGTGCTGACAAAACACGGTTCAGTAACATCTGGCATATCCTGTATTGTTCTCTCAACTTTAAGTGAGTTCCGAATATGCGTGGTGCCACAAATCAAAAAAAGAGGCGAGCAGAAAGAGCACAAACGCTGCAAGGACAGCTTTTGCGTGACAACCAGACATAACCAAGTCTGGCGGCAGTCTCGCAACAACTTGGGAGTTTGAAGGTCTCAGATCCTAGCCGCTGGAAAGGAAACAATCAATGCTAGTGAGGTGGCCGAGGCAGAAGTGGTCGAAATAGGAATACGTAGGCGAATAGGCTTTCATCACGCAGGCCCACCAGTAAAGCACCGTAAATTACGGAGAAATGCGGCCAGTATTATGGAAAGAGGAACTACTCTACATGTTTTTGAGAAATACACTCATTTGCAAATCAATTTGGTTTTCATGAGAGACTCAACTGAATCTCTCGTTAATGATATTCTACAACTGAATGTGCTGCACACAGGCAGGAAACCCGGGGACTGCGCCTACCCGATGAGCCCCAAGAAGGGCGAACCGGTCGTGGGCTGTCGAAGAGTTTTCAGCAACCTTGTGACTAGTTTCCTTTATGAAAAAATACTCTACATGTTGTTTCCCCCTCCCCAAATATGCCCATTTCTCTATAACAACCGAATGCTGCCCGATTGTTTAAAGTTACAATAGAGAGCCCGCAACCTCAAACATTGTGTTTAGTGGGAGGCGAGATGGCCCAAGTGGTTAGAGCACGAACTTACTGACCGGAAGGCTTGTGGTTCGAATCCGACTTGTCTCTCGACTTCCCCTGTCTAGGCTTGGGCAACATGGCAGTATCTCAGCTCTTGTCCTTGCTTCGGGCGGCATGGCAGCTAGGCACCGAAAGGGTGCTACAGCTGGACGGTTATTATTATTATTATTATTATTAGGGTCAGCTACATATGGTTGACTTTTCATTTCAACCGTGTCCGGATAAAGGAGGCTCAGGAGAGGAGACAGAGATGGTGACATAGTACTCGGTAAATCAGTGTTGACCTTCGTTTCAGTCATTCTCTTTTTCCTTAGGAAACCGGGAAAAAGTTAGCTTCCCTTTGGTCGCCTTCTAGTTGGCTTCTTTCAGACGGGCGCTTTAAAAAAACGTCGTACTGTCAACTATTTACGTACCAAATTCCGTAGATGAGGCTGGCCTCATTGTGGGGGTTCTGTCAAACCAAACAGCTCAGTAGAATAATCCGGTGAATCGCAAAGATAGGCGATAACCTCGACACAGGAAGAATAAAGTGAGTGCAATGATTCTCACTCATACTTACCTCTTTTGACGGTCGCGGGTTCGATTCGTAAACCCGTTGCATGTGGAGTCTCTGGTCGTCTGTCAGTGAAGTCCGCATGCGTTTGCTGGTGCCTCCAACATGGGTACTTGTTTGAAGCCTGTCGGATTTCCCCTGAACATCCGTCGATTCAGAAGCATGAGAGAAGGAAGGTGTCGCAACTTCAGTTATCGTCTCACGTGGTCGCCGCAACGGGTTTGGTTCATTGGACGTTTGAGGCGGATAGGGAGATAACGGGGGTTGGTGTTGAGTGGACGCACCCGAATGGTGTCTTGTTCTGTCAGCCGCAAGGAAGTCAGCACGACAAATGGGACGGAAGCTCACCGGATCGATCGTGTATGGATCGCCAACGACCAGGGGTTGCAGACAGATGAAGCAGGTGAAACAGGAAACGTGGAACAAGAGTGGTGGGCGGGGCGCGTCTGCAGTGGACGCGCTCGATGAGGGGGGTAGGTGTGCGCGCATGAATAGCTCATGGCTGCGCATAGGCTGTCGGCACGTGATGCACCTCGTTGCGTGCAACCTACATTGTACATCCGCGAGGGGGGGGGCAGAGGAATGAAATCAGACGGAGTAACGAAATGCTCAGGGTTTGAGGCTAAGAAACCCTTAAAAGCTTCAAACAGCCGGTCTTACTCTATGGTTTCCAAGACTCTCACATATCGTACAAAAACGTGTGCCGACTAACAGAACATCAACAACATCGATTGATAGGAATGTGCAGCTGCGCTATGACAGCAGGTTATCTTAGCAAGGATAATGGCAGGTGCCGGTCGCATCACGGAAACGGAGCCCGTGTTTTATACGTGTCCCGAGATGCGAATTCGGTCTTGTGCACCATGTGACGGCGTAGCGTTCTGAAAACCGGACACGTCCTGTGTGGTTCAGGTCACCGAAGTATGTGCCGAAACTGCATAAACGTAAAATCCACTATCTCAAGATTGTTCATCTGTGGCAGTCTTTTGACACATGGACGTCATGCAACCCGCAGGAGGCTGAGATAAAACTACGTTGTTGAAACTGAGACAACAACAACAACAAGAGGAAAACCATGTAGGGAAGTTCGAATTGCTAACGTTTCTGGTCAGCAGCTCACACGTCGTGCCATGTGGACAGACTAGTGCATGGCAGTAAACCAATTCTGGCTGCATCTCAATCGGTCTTGTCCAGGGTTGGGCCACAACCGGTCTTGTCCAGGGTTGGGCAACCTGGCCACATCCCAGCCCTCGTGCTTCCCGTGGGCAGCATGGGACCCAGGCGCCGAAAGGGCGTTTGTTACAGCTGAAAGATTTGTGTGGAGCTAGTCGCCAGGCGGTTAATTCCACGGCTCATCAACTGCCACTCCAAACCAGCCAGTCTATATACTATTGGCCTTCATTGTCTAGCCACCCAAAATCCATCCCACCTACCGTTAGCCCTGTATCGTTACACGTTTAGCCCCCGTTATCCGTTTGCGGCCTCTTGTCAATAGTACTACCTGATTTGGTCTTCTGTGCCTAAACACGACGGAATATTCGTTCATCCGAGAGAGTACGTGGGATACAGTAGTGTGTAAACGGGCAGGTAGGCATGTTAGCCAATGTCCCAAGAAGTCAGAGTTTTGGCAAAAGATTTCTGGTTGTGGTGACCATTTAGTTGCCCCAAGAGGCGAGTAGCACACCTCTTCTCAAGCGGCAAAAATATACCAAAATCACTTGATAGCCACCACCGAGTGCAACCAACGCTGTCCCTGCAGTGGGGGGGGGGTGAACTTCACATTTGAAATTCAGTTTGTTTGTCTTAAGACAAAGGGAAACGAAGCGCGTAAAAAGAGGGGAAATATGTTCTAGCTGTTGCTATCCGACCTTGGAAAGTATCACACCGGTGACTGAGCAGCAAATGACAGTAAAAAAAAGTGAACGTTGTTTACCTTCAGTTTGTTAAAGCGCCATTTGTGCTGTGAGATCGGTCTGGTGTCCTCACACCGACCTCACCTGATCTCATCCGGTCGATAGGATGTCACACCGCACTCCAGTACACGACATCCGACAGAAACGACATTAATTATGTAAAAAGGCATGCGCTGAATCGCTCACCTCAAAACCATCCTCGTTTGGAAACCAGTTCGACGACATCCAATCAAATGGATTTTTACAGCAGCGCAAAGTCTAGGAGACTGGAGATTATCTTCACGAAACAACTCCCAACGATGAGTTGCTTTACAAACAGCATGGGGATGTTCTGCGTTAGTCGGCAAAAACGGGAAATAAAATCGCGGTGTATGACCATCCAATATACTTCCCGGGCACGTGGTGTTTCCTGACGAGATCACGCAGCACAGCACGTGACCCACCAACAAAACGAGCTGTATAGTCAGTCTACCGTTTCGCAAGCAGTTTGAAAGTAATATCACTGGTACAGATGATTGTAACATCAGTATTGAACGTCAAGAAAAAATTCATTTAGAAGATTTTCAGAGAAGAGACAAGGAAAGGGGAGGGAGCACGTGCGTTAGCTTACCAAAATGAGTGCCAGGTGTCTGTGCCGCCAAACAGCGTTCGTATGTAAACCACGGCGAGATGGCTAAAGTGGCTGGATCGCGAATTTACTGACCGGAAGGTTCGTGGTTCGAATCCGACCTCTGTCTCTCGACTTCCCCTGTCTAGGCTCGGGCAACCTGGCAGTATCCCAGCCCTCGTGCTTCCTTCGCGTGGCATGGCAGCTAGGCACTGAAAGGGTGTTACAGCTGAACGTATGTAAACCGGTTGACAGCGCCCCCCAGTCACGGATTCTCCACACGTGTCTCTCTGTCACGAAGAGACTGGACCTTACCGTGCTGTGACGCTTTGTGTACCTCCGCGACCGAATGAGCTGTACCGGAGGGTGGGGGGTCCGCGCATCAGGTTAGTGCGAAGTCCCTTCCTTCTATCCTATTCTCTTTTCTTAACAGTAACACCTCCAAGTAAATTATGGTTGTACGTCTCGCTCAATGCTGATGTTGTGCTGTCGATGACGTTGAAGGCAGTGACAATTCCATACCTGACGGCAAACTGATGGGGTACTAGCAAAGATTACCAGTAACTGCACCTAGAGTGTTCTAGATAGCTCAGCAAGAACGATACGAATATTCGATCAAAGAACCTGCAGTTATAATCCATCGCTGATTTTTCAACAGCTTTTGTCCCAACTTGAGAAAGCTGACAGTGGAACTTTAAAAAAAAGGCCACTCCGACATGCGTCCCTCCCGGAAGGGTCAAGAAGATACGTTTCACGTGACTTTCCTACAGGAATCATCGTACTTAATGTGACCACATCCCATTTACAAAAAGAAAGTTGATTCCTTACGGAAATCAAGATGTTCACATTTTACGCTTTCTCAGGCTGACACTAAATAGGCTGAATTTCCCGTTCTTTTAATTAAACTGTTTCTGTTCCCGTATTCTATCCAATACGGTTTAACCAATTGCTTACGTCTCGCGCTCGTCACTAGCAGCTTTACCTATGTCTGTTTACGGCTGTGTCCCTTATGGGCGGAAACTGGTCTTGCTCGTAATCAAACGGGTACGCCCAAAACGGACTTAAGGGTGCTACCTACGGGAATACGGACCACGTGATTACGGTCATTCCACCCATCACGTTCTACTCAGAACGTGTGCAAGGTCGTTCAACTCCGCGTGTGGTCCCCTGTTGAATAATAACAATCGTTCAGCTGTAACACCCTTTCGGTGCCTAGCTACCATGCCACCCGAAGGTTGCACGAGGGCTAGGATACTGCCAGGTTGCCCAGGGCAAGACGAAAGGCAGAGGTCGGGTTCGAACCACGGACCTTCCGGTCAGTAAATTCGCGCTCTAACCACTTGGGCCATCTCGCCCCCGGTCCCCTGTTGGCCAATTATGGAAGCGTTGAACATTGGCATTATGATGCCTATGATGGTGATGAGTTTCTTTGGGCCTGCCTTCAGTGAAGTTCGCACACACCGTATGTTTGACGGTATACAATACGACGCAGCGCGACACACACCTGCCTTCCCCCTTAGGTGTGGAGCAATTGCGCCAGGACAGAAGAAGGGCTGTTCAAACGAGAGTGATGTGAATGTGAAGCGTGAAAGTCCCGCAACCACCTGCAATTACTCTAACTATGACCTTTATGTCGGTTCTGTACGTTTATGTACATTAGCAACTGTTTAACTGTCCCCCCCAATTACCTGATGGCCCTCGCAAACCTTTTCTGTTCTCTACGTCCTCTGTATGCTGTTTTTGTTTCGCTTAATGTATTGATCGACTACCATGCAGAGACCCCGACAGTCCCCGAATCGCTAGAGCATGCCTTACTGATCGCACGTTCGTATGTGTGCCGAACTCGCAAGTTTTAGCACCAGACCCCCATGGTTCCTACTGTCTTTTCTGCCGTTGGCCGCAGTCCTGTTGTCTGTGTCAACACCAATATATCTACTATCCAATGTCTAAAGTATGAATGTATCTACCGTTGTTGTCCTTTCCAACTTCCGGTCTGCGTGAGGTCCAACAGCTGCGAAAGCCCCGGATTCTCCGGGTAGTTTACGTTAGGCTCCTTTTCTCTGTCACGAAGAGACTGGACCTTACCGTGGTGTGGCGGTTTGTGCACCTAGGCGACCCACTGGGCTATACTGGGGGGTGTCCGCACGACACTCACAGAGTCTCTCATACCAGGTTGGTCAATGGTTATAGGTCTGACGAACACAGTCTCCTGGGCCTTCAGGGTGGGAGTTGGAACATGTATGGCGACTTGTTCCGTAGAAAAGGTAATGCATTTGCATTTCCCCGCCAAACACCGCTGCCTTGCGGTTAGGCTTTTGAGCCAAAGGCTTTGGCTGAGGACCCTAATCGTCCTCCTGTCTAGGTATGGGCAGTATCCCAGCCCTCGTACAACTTGCACGTCAGTGAACCACTAGTGCCAACACTGATGTTGCAATCTTTGATGATGATGATGACGAGGCTTCTTTTCTATGGTCACATCTTATCCCCAAATTCACTCTCTGAGATTGTAGCATCATCTCGGTTGTCCAAAACGCGACACCATGTTGAGTCAGGCCGGTACCTCAGTAGGCTGCCTGGCTATCTTAGCCTACTTGGTCTGATGCGTGCTCACTAGATTGGTCATGCCAATATGGAAGTTGATCTGATTGAAGAGGCTGAACAGTGTACCATCACCAGACTCTGTATAGTGAAGTATGTCCGGGGGAAAATTTGATTTCGTCAAGCCAAAGAACAGGTCAAGCTGGACAACACGGGTATACTGTCTTATGTAAGCCACTCTTGAAGAGCGTCAAAGTGGTCCCCGTCTGAAAGGGTGGCCTTTATACATGTAAAATGTTTGTTTCGCTTTATCTTAGACGGTTTTGTGTCGTTCGTAGTTCGGCTGTTCAGTCCGTTACAACCTAATGGGTAGGTAGCCTTTCCCATGTGATCATGTGATCAAACGGCTTACGAGTGAATGTAGACTCTATACCAAGGACCATTTCTCGGGATTTTGGGTAAAAATGCTCCGAATATCGTGGCATTATCAGCAGAAACTCGTTCACGGAAAGTGAAACCAGTTCAATTAAATTTGTGGAAAATCGTCCAGCAAAGTAAAAAAGAAGTAACCGATCACCTAATTAACGCATTCCTATTAATTTCTACGCCTCGGGGGCGAGACGTACCAAGTGGTTAGAGCGCCAGTTTACTGACCCCGTGGTTCGAACCCGACCTCTGCCTCTCGACTTCCCCTGTCTAGGCTTGGGCAACCTGGCAGTATCCCAGCCCTCGTGCAACCTTCTGGTAGCATGGCAGCTAGGCACAGCTGAACGGTTTTTTTAATTTTTACGCCTAAATAGGTGTTCTATTACGCTGTGACGGAATATTTCATCCTGATGACGTAAAACTCGGGTTTTACCAATTCTAAACACAACTACAATGGTTCTAACTGAGTTGTACTCATCTATCTCAAGCAACTTCCACCTGAGTTCCAGTGAAACAGGACCTTGACTTTCAAGTCAAGACTGTGGACGATTGCGCTACATGTAGTGTACCTAAGCCTGGGTGTACAAAGGGTACGTCAGTACAGTGACAGTTTGCAAGGCCATAAATTCAAAATTTTTCACCTGTCTTCTAAAACATCATTGTCACTAGCAAGCAAATACAGTCCCATTTAAAGATTATAGCAACTCAGGCACCACACTACAACAGCTGATGAACGGCAGCCAGCTCTGCTTTGAGGAACAGTCAGTGTCAAAGCAGGTCGTGTCAAATAGTCATGACAGTTGACCCCTCTGGAGAGTAACACCAAGATGTCCAGTTTAGATGTAAAGTTCGCGCATAGTAAAGATGTCCAGTGGTCAGGCCTCAGCTGCGGCTGTTGTGCTTTAGCTAACCCAGGTCGTCATGTCATATGCGACCTCGATCACTCGCCATCTGGCGATTTGAAAACACCCTTAAAAAAACTTCAGCTGTAACATCCTTCCGGTGCCTAGCTGCCATGCTACCCGAACGAAGCACGAGGGCTGGGATACTGCCAGGTTGCCCAAGCCTAGACAGGGGAAGTCGAGAGGCGGAGTTGGGGTTCGAACCTCGGACCTTCCGGTCAGTAGATTCGCGCTCTTACCACTTGGGCCATCTCAGCCCCACCACCCTTGCTGTGTGCGTATTAGTTATTGGCACTTTTGCCGAGTATGACAGTGGGTTGGGAACACACGACAACTGGATCCACTCGAGCTACCAATATTCCACAACACCGTCATTTACCACACCTCACGCAATCACTTCCCACCACATACCATGGCAAACACCATGCCGTGTCAAAATTTATTCAGTGGAAACTGGTTGTAGACAAACAGCTATCTGACCGGCAATCAGCTGATGCACCTGGGCTGCCATCAAGGACGGTTGTGGTCGAACGCTCACAATATACGGTGGCAGTGTTGTGAAAAAACGAGTGGCGACCGTAGAAAGATGTGCGGGTGCATGAAGGAGCTCAGTGAGAATAAAGATAAACTACCTGATCGTCATAACCAATTCTTATGTCTGAAGACGCACCGCCGTGTGAAAGGCTGAGAGATGTAAGCTGCCTCATGGGACTGGGGTGAAAGTTGCAGACTGACCTATCATCATATTCGAACACGGTGGCATGCCGTTGACAGATGACCTGGTTACGCTGCAGGCGATGCGTGCCTGGGAAGCGACGAGAACACGAGAGAGGTCAGTAAGGATTGAGCAGCTATTGGAAAGCGAAATGAGGTGGGGATAGGAAAACGGTTCTCAAATGGAAGTGGTGACGGTAGCATGGCGGGCGAGGTCAGCGCCCGAAGCACAGCACCGGAGCATCGATTTTGGATAGTGATGTCATGCTACCGGTGGGGATGGTGATGATGATGAGTGCGCAGGAAACTCGAGAGCCAGAATCCCACTGGCCCTAGGGGGTCAATTTTATCAGAATACAATGCGAGTCGTGCTTCCGTTGTCGGTTGGCTTCTGCGATCGGACGATCTGAGGTATCTTCAGGCATCTGGTGAACAATGTATCAGAACTATCGCTAGCCCAGGAATTTACAATGACTTGACTAACAAACAAGTGTTTGGTGAGGAAGAGGGAGTACATCCGACACCATCGATTACGGTGGCTTAGTCACAGGATAAGAGCCAAGCGTCGCATACCGAAAGACGGACAAGGTATGATTTCGTAGACGAGACAGAAGGTGAGGAAGAAGGGAGTTACTGTGATTCAAGAGGGTGTCCTGGCTAGAGACGATGCAAGACAGCAGCAACGCTCGTGCTGCCAGTTTCTATGCAGAATGTTTGGTTGAGTACCGAAAGGACCCTGCATTTTTGTGCTAGGTTTTCACTGAAATCCTTTCTTTCGCCTTTATCTTGATGACTTATTTCAAATAGACTGACATGGCTCTAGGGCAGTGAAGTACTAGTGTTTCGACACTGATTTGGCTGCCAATGGTGACGACGACGATTATTACGACGATGAGGGGGAGAATGACTGCATCCGGTGCGTGTAAAAACGGAGAAGTTATCGGGAGTTGTGCTCAAAAAGCAGTGATGTACTACTAAAATAAATAAATAAATCGTTCAGCTGTAACACCCTTCCGGTGCCTAGCTGCCGTGCTGCCCGAAGGAAGCACGAGGGCTGGGATACTGCCAGGTTGCCCAAGCCTAGACAGGGGAAGTCGAGAGGCAGAGGTCGAGCTCACACCACAGACCTTTCGGTAAGTAAATTCGCGCTCTAACCACTTGGGCCATCTCGCCCCCGATGTATTACAAAGACTTCCAAACTTTAAGAAGAAAGTTTGAATGCGTTGGTAGCATCCTTGCTATTGGTCGATTGGAAGGGAGACAAAAGCACGATTTTACCTCCATCTGAAGTAGGCTTCGATGGGAATCGACTCGACATCCTCAAGACAGTCACGATTCACACACGTGCTGTTAATCATTGAAGAGGAATAGTCAACCAGGAAAGTTATCGAGGGGCGTTGCGCTGGAAAGTCTCCGGGAATACGAGGTAATGGAGCTGGGAGTGTTGCATGACGGACTACAATACAGATATATTTATCAGCAATTGAGGGAGTTGAAGTTTAATGAAAAGCCTGGTGGGCTCGAAGATGGTATCATTGCTTATAAAAGTGGTTGTTTTCACTCAGCAGGGGTCAATCATGATCCGATTGTCACAAGCGACATCGGTGGAAAATGAAAGTGTTTTGGAAGCCGCATTCAAGCCTGTCATGTTACCACGATATTGAACGGTCTCACCTTTCATTCAAGATTGAGCGACGAATTTTATCAGCATACCCTGTCATGTCAAGCAATAAACCAGCCACATATCGACCAAATGAACGAAGCTGTCTGTCCCCGGAGGTCACAGTGTAGTAGGAGCTTTAGAGGACTAACTATACCCGCTATGTTTGTAAAGTGCTCTTTTTTGAGGTGAGCTTTCTGGATGGGGGTACCGCTTTCAGCGTACCGGTTTAAAATTTAGTAAGGAAGGGCTAAACTCTAAGGGGACATTTTGTATACTTCCTCAGCGAGGTCCCTCTTCGGGAAGTAAGCTGCATTACCTCAGCCGTCGCGTCCATCTCGAAGGGAAGTCATGATTGATGGAATGGAGTTGGGTTTGAACAGAGATATTATAGAGCATAACACTGTGGCCTACCGAGCAAACACTGCCAATATCGACGTCACTTTCGGAGATTAGGAGTTGCCTTGAAGATTGTATGCCAGGGAAAGCTAACTCTGTAACCTCAACTAAAGATAGCCAAGGTGGAATAGCTCGGGACCGGATGAAGCGCTCATCAGTGCACGCGAGGTGCCACCAAGTGTGACTTATTTCAGAACGATGGGCGAAGTGACTGAAAGTTCCGCGGTGATTAGGACTCGCAGGCAACTGCACTATACGTACACAAACAAATCGCAGGCGTACATAAACCATACATAACGGTTTTGCACCACAAGACCAGCTGGTTTTAGTAGGGTGCAGCTTTCCAAAACCAACGCTGTATCTGAATGGTGGGTACAACAATATACTACTGACACTAGAACAAACTAGATAGAAAAATCGTAAATTTACCGCAGATTAAGAGAGTTGTTTTTGACACATGCACATACAAACTTTGGTTCGAGTGTGAAAGGAGACGTCGGTGCCTGTGGATGTGTTTGTACCGAGCAGAAACAGATAAACATAGACATACCGGTCATAGTCTTTGCGACAGAACAGTTGGCCTTCATGTACAAAGCATACATCCGAAAGTTTGACGCTACAAACGGAACAGACGGCACACGCCTCATGCCAAGCCTGACCACGGATTCGAAAGAGGTAGTGGTCCATGATTGGATCGCGACAGCGGATGCACACAGGAGGTGCGGGAGGTGTGGGTGGAAATGGGTGAGTGCGAGATTCGGGATCTTGTGCCTTCGCGGTCGATGGATTGAGAATGGATTCCACTGGTACGTGGCGAGCGGTGGAGAGGAAAGCATTGGAATCAGCCACATGGGGGGAAGGAGAGGGAGAACAGCGCGGACTGAGTGTTGGGTCGGGTTGGGGCTGGCGACGATAGGAGTTTAGGTTGTCTCCAATGAAGCCAGACCCTGGATGAGTTCTGAGGAGGTCGGGGATGTAGGGGTTCACATCTGAAACAAGAAAACAGATGAGCAGTGAGCAACCGTTACATAGGTGACCTCACAACGACAACGGGGTATTTATTAGGATGGAAGGGTGCTTACGCACAAATAAAAGATAAGGGCACTCATAGAAATCTGACTAAGAAGGAATGTTGGTCGTACCAACGCAAGCCGACCTAAGTAACATCCCTGTGCTTGACAAGATGGAGCACACCGAAATAAACAGCTGTGAACTGCAACAGACCACTGACAGATTGAAATAGGTAAACAAGGTCGTCTTCTAACCGGAACTAAATTCAACCGTTCCCAGCGTTAGCAGACTTCCACAAAAACACTAGTAACCCACAGCATCCCGATCGCACAAACATGCATTTCCACTCCCAACGCACTGATGACGTCACCTCGGTTGGTGATGAAGCGTTGGTAACCAAAGAGTCAAGCTCAGTGAACAAACCAACGTCTGCCACACAGGTTTTGCAGAAACAACTACAAAGTACTCTTCGAGCAGTGATCACCTTGTCTCGATTCCCCACATTTCAGAGCAACTAAGTGTTAGGCAGGAATCCACGCGGATCCCACGTCTTTAGGCTCTGCTACGGCCGAGAAGCCTGGCCCGCTCGAGGTTGACCCAGAATTCGGGACGCTTGCCGGTCCGGCATCAAGGCGAGATCTGATTGGTCAACAATCTGGACCCAACAGCCAATCATGACCCAATAATGACCAAATGCCGGTTGCCAATGGCGCATCCAGAACGCGTCAGAGATTCCAGAAAGTTATAACCGCTTACGCTGTATATACGAAGCGCTGTACAACTGTTCTTGATTTCGTTTTGGGAGTTAATAAACCTCGTGCACCTTTGGTGGTTGTTTTGAAGTGAACGCTAGCTTGGGAGGCTCAGACCGAGAACTAAGTTGAGGAAAATACCGTTACTACACTAAGCAATGAAAACATCAGAATTAGTTGCCCAGGATCTGCGAACAGATCAACAACCAATATTTTTCACATTTCCTGCCCATAAACCACTGCAGTAGCTAATGACTAATATGTATACATGTATATTATGTAATTACACTGAGGTTGTACTTTTTACGAGTACAACATAACATGCGAAGAACGGTTTTGGGCGATGGCCGAATCTACTTAGAATGCGATAGGGCTGGATGACTTAAGCTGTGTGATTCATCGCCCCCGTTTGATAAAGCATGCTCCGATAAGAACAGTAGGACCGAGATGGCTCAGTGGTTGGAGTGCGAATTCACTGAACGGAAGGTCCGTGGTTCAAACCGGCCTCTGCATCTCGACTTCCCCTGGGAAGTCTGGCAGTATCCCAGCCCTCGTGCTTCCTTCTGGTGCTATGGCAGTTAGGCACCAAAAGGGTGCTACAGATGAACGATT